CAACTGCCCCAGACTGGGGGACCAACACCACAATGGCACAGCTGTGACAAACACAACCCACAGGGCCAGCAGGTCAAGGACAGACTCAGCAGTAGCAGGGGTTCCTCTGATCAAGTGAACCCCAACAATTCCTTCACTTATTCCTCCAAGTGCCAGAAATTAAAGAAGGGAAAGGCCAGGGTTTTGTTAGTTTGTGTTTTATGTGCCTGCAACATGATCAGCCCTGGGGATCATCTTTCCTGTGCCCAGGCAGGTGAGGTGGAAGGCACAGGCTGCAGGTACTGGGCAGTAACTGGATCCTGCAGACCCAGATCCAGCCAGAGCCAGGAGACAGTGCCCAGAGAGCCCCTGCTGCAGGGACAGCTCCCAGCACCATGCAGGTAAGTGCTGCAGCCCCTTACAGCTTTCACAGGATTGGGGTGGATGGGGTCTTAAAGATCATCTCATTGCACACCTTCCACTTTGCCATGTTACTCCAAGCCCCATCCAACCCAGCCTTTCCCTCTGGATTCTAACCCTGACAGCTTTCATAGGGCAGGGTCAGGCCAAATAACACAAGTTGTCCTTCAAGGACAGATTAAGGGGCACCTCAAGCCTTCAGTAAAAGGTTAAAAATAGTCAAAAATTATTCATAGCAAATATTCAGTATTTCCACACATGGATGCACAGAGAGGAGCTCCCAACACGCTAACATCCTCAGCCTGGGATCTCACTGTGCCTCAAGCAGATTTCTTAGTTTCTAGGAGAAAAAAACCTCACACTAATAATACAAAGACCATTCTAGAAGCTGTGATTGCTCTGCATGGCTATATTGCAAAATGAGGGAAAGCCTTTGGGTTGAGAGGCAGGAGAGCTCAGTGTCCCTGTTGCTGTTCCAGCTGACGCTCTGCAGGCTCCGCACACACCAGTGGTGCTTCATCCTCTGCAATGTGCTGCTCTTCCACCTGCTGCTCTTCGGGGCAGATTTACTGGAGCAATACTTCCTGCAGTCCCTGCCCCTCTCCTACACCGATGCAAAGGCTCTGGAGATCAGGGACAGGGCCAGGAAGCTGGATCTGGATCCTCTGAAGGCCAACCTCTCTTCCAGCAGCAGCAGTGCAGTGACTTGCTCCAGCCAGGAGATATTCCTGCTCATTGTTGTGTGCAGCAGCCCGGAGAACAGGACGAGGCGCGACGCCATCAGACAGACCTGGGGCAACACCACGGCCTCCAGGGGTTACAGTGTGCTCACTGTGTTTGCTGTAGGGAAGGCAGCCTCAGCAAGCACCCAGCTGGAGATCCAGGAGGAGGCCCAAAGGCACAGAGACATCATTGAAGGCACTTTCATCGACTCCCCCCAGACACAGACACAGAAGATGCTGATGAGTGTGGAGTGGACGGTGATTTTCTGTCCCCGTGCCAGGTTCATCCTTCACACAGCCCAGGACGTGTTTGTGGGTGTTCCCAGCCTGGCTGGCTACCTGCTCAGCTTAACCCAGCAGGAGGACATCTACCTGGGCAGGGTGGTTCACCATGCAGTGCCCAACAGGGACCCCCAGAGCCCCGGCTTTGTCCCCATCCATCTGTACCCCCAGCAGTTGTACCCGGATTTCTGCCACGGCAGCGCTTTCCTCCTGTCCCAGGACGTGGCCCGCAAGGTTTTGGTGGCTGCCAGGGAGGTGCCCCTGGCACTGCCCCCCGCTGCCTTTGTAGGGGTCTGTGCCAAGAGAGCTGGCATCAGTGCCAGGCACAGCTCCCGCTTCGCTGGGGACAAGCACATCAGCTACAACCCCTGCTGCTATAAATTCATTTTCACCTCTTCTGCCATGAGAGAGGACGAGCTATTTACGGACTGGAAGGAAACGAGCGATGGGGAGGATTGCTCCCTACTGGAAACCTACTACAGCCTGGTGTCCTGCAAGGTTCTGACCTACATTGATAACTTCAAACAGTTCAGCTTGGACAGGATAAAAAACGAGCTCCTTCATTTTGTCAATTAATGCTTAACTCCTGCATGAAGAGGCTGGATTTTCTTTCATCAGCTGTGTTATCCTGTACAAAGGATGCCCTCCCAAAGTTTGCTCTTTTCCCTTCAGCAGCAAATGGATTCTCACTGTTACAGTGTGACAGAGCAGAACTGGATGTCCTCTGCCTCTCTAAGTACCTACAAGTGCATGCATGGAAGTAAAAAAGGATATTCCAGAAGACTTGTCTAGATCCATGGCTTTTCACACTTTTCAGTCTTCAAAACTCCTTTTTTATGTGAGTGAGGCATCACCTACTTCCAAAGAATTCTGGAACAAAGGGGAAGCTTTCCATCCACAAAAGGAGCTGCTTCTGAGCAGGCTGGTTCAGAGGGAAACAGAGCAGCTCCAGCAGGAACAGACACTGAGCCATCATGGAAATTCCTCAAGTAAAGCTGTTTGTTAACATCCATCAAATGACAAGGTTTGGTTTGGGATTTTTGGGTTTTTTAAACCAAATGTTACCTCAGCATGTTACCTCAGTTCTCCAGCATTCCATTTTGTGGTTTTCCTCAATTATTTCCACCTGTTACTTTAAGGGGGGGGTGACAAAAACAACACATTTCAAAATTGTCATTTCTATCAGCTACAGCAGCAGCATGTAATCCATATGGCAATGTACAGCATGGGCAGGGAACTGCCTCTGAGTAATAAGGGGAAAGTGATCAATTAATCAATCAACTCTGAGCTCAAAGCTCAACAAAATAAAGCATATGTGTATACATAAAAAAAATCCCCTTGTTTGGCATCTCTGCACATTCTAAAATATTGTCTTTGGCAAATGTACCATGCAAAGCAGATGCTAAATACTCAGCACACAGAATAGCCTTCAAAAGCACCAGCTGAAAACACACATGGAAGAGGCTCATGAATTGCAGAACAGGTTTATACATTGATTTCTTTTACTGACATTTCAGCACATGGCTGTACAGAGCCACCAGCACACAAAGCCACCTAAAATAACAGAGCTGAACTGCCCAGAACAAGAGCAAGCTAAGGACTTGTACACTCTTTTATTTCCTTTTTAGTGCTTTAAAGTGTTTGCTGGATGCAGGATCCATGGAGCTCATCCAGACACAAGACACTGCAGTGCATTTCTCACTGGCAGATCTTTATTGGGCACACTGAGGGTAAAAGCAGCAGCACTGGGATGCAGGATGACATCTCAGGGACATCCTGGGGAACAAGGCACCTCACCTGCATTTAGACAGCTTGGCAAACATTAAGGGATCTCCCCCAGCTCCTCTGAGCTCTCCTGGCAGCAATTTTTGGCAGGCAATGCCAGCTGCACCTCCACCTGCCTCAGATCCTGCAGGACAGATCCCCCTGCTTCCCCTGGCAGCACAGGGACACGGGGCAGGGCTCCCCACAGCCACACTTCACTAAAAAAAGCCACAAAGCAGTAATTTCTTGTTTTATTCTGCTCCCCCTCAACAAAAAGAATACAAGGCTTTGACAGAAATACCCTGTGGTCTGTTTATGGGCAAAGACACAAACCATGGAGTGCCCTGCCACTCCTGATTCTCTGCCACAGCTCTGGCATCTTCAAAAGAAGATTCCAACTTCCTAAGATGCCACATTTCCATACTCCCACTTCATTCACTCCCTGCACACAACAGCTCCGTGCTCTCATCCCTTTTAATGATCTAACTCAGGTAACTAAAATACCACATTTCTTTAAATAACACTTTAAAAAATTGCATCTCTGTTAAAAAATAATGTAAACAATTCAAGATTTGGTTCTGAATAGCCTTGTAGTGCTCCAGCCACTAAACTGAGCTGCCACCCCACAGCACAGCCAGCCAGGGACAGAGCTCCCTGGTGGGTTTGATCCCTACAGAGTGCAATGATTTGTTTTTAAAAGGGCTAAAAACCTTTTTTTCTTTTTAAATCCTCAGCAGAAAATGTAAACAATATTTAGGATTATTTATTCCAGCAAGACTCACATCCAGCAGGTTGAAAACAAGAGAACCCAGTCCATACTCCCTCATGTGGACACTGTCACTTACTCAGTAACAGGATTCTGACAGAACAGTGTTCCATGCAAGTGCCAACTCTGGCAGGTAAAAAAAGGAATTAAAAAAGAATATAAATTATGGCAGCATCTGAGGTTACAAACCTTGAGGTGTTTTGGTGGTTTTTTTTCAACTGAACTGTAACCTACTGATAAAACACAACAGAAACCCCAAACCCAAGAACAATTTAAACAAACACTGATAAATTCTGCCAGATAAAACAGCCAGCAGCTGCCAAGTGCTCACCTCATGAAGCACACAGGGAACTTCTGCCATGACATTTTAGGGGGAAATACCAAACAACCTTTAATTTGCTCTCCTGACTCATTTCAAATAGAGTCAAAATATCTTCACACTCCTTTACAGAGACACCTCCAGTGTGGAGAGTTTTTACACCTTGTACCTCAACACCTGTGCCAGGACTGTGTTCTGCAAGAGGGGCACCCCAGACACCCAGGACATTACTCTGCTCCTTCCACAGCTGTAGTAGAAGCTGCTTGAACATAATAGGGGCCCTCGAGCAGGTAAGCCCTGAGCCTCAGGTAGTACTGATTGCCAAAGATCTCTGCAATGGTTTTGGAGTTCACCAGGGCCTTCACCAGTTCGTATTTTGCATCCTTTGAAGCTTTGTCAGGCTCCACAGATCTGTCCACAACGTACTCCACAAACCCTGGGCTGCTCAGCATCAGCTTCTGGGCCCATGGTTGGTTTGCAATGGCCTGAACAGGAAACAAAGGATGTGAGAGGTGGGGGAAACATTTTAAAAAATGCAATTACACAGTAGGGTTTTGTACAGGGACAAGGAACAGGAAAAATTAAATAATATAAGAAACCACCACTCAAATCAAGCAGCAGGGTTTAACACTGGAGAACAAGTAGAGCTCAGAGTTTTGAGGGAATTATCACAGCAGTGTCTCTGCTAGAGAAGCAGCACCTTGGAGCACAGCTCTTGCCTTTTTTATCCCCCTCTCCAATTTATTAGAAAATTAGCATTACAGACATGATGTGTCTGCTGCATCATTTAAATGGGGAAGCCAAGTGGGGCCTGAGGAAAAAGGCCTTTTTTTGACCACCTCTGGGCTTCAACAAGAAGTTGGTGGTATTCACTTTAAAGAAATAAATAAATCTGAGACTGAAGGGCACCACAAGTCCCCCCCTGGTGTTTCAAAGCAAAAGCACTCACAGTAAAGACCCGCAGAGCCCCACAGTGGAGATCAGGGAATGGCTGAGTGCTGATGCTCCTGAACAGCTCCAGGGGCTGGCTGGACAAGGATGTGAACCAGGATTCAGTCATTCTTAAAAGGTCTTCTGTCTGCTGGTCTGGCTGCATAAATCACAAAAATGAGAGTTTGATTAGGATTATGAAAGGCTTTCAGGTTTTTGGGATGTGCTCAAATGGTTTAATCACCCCTCTAGAGCTACACTGTTAACCCAGAGCCCTGGATCCAAACACCACAGGGACTGGAGCAGTTTGCCCCCATCCCTCTGAGCACAAGGATGTGAACCTGCTTACTCCCATTCCCTCATCAATGAAGTCCTGACTTCATCTTTTATGAACATTTCAGAACACCTGGCACCTTACAAACAAACCCAAACCTTTAGCAAACCAACCAGGGAATTTCAAACCAGTACTGAAAGCACCACTGCCACCCAACCTAGAGGCTGCAAAATGTCTCCCACAGTTACTCAGGTGTGTGATGATTGCATTCTTGGAGATTTAAAGAAAAAAACAAAGACAAAAAAAGCCCAACTTACAGGCAAGTAAAGCAGGGATGAAATGGCATCCAAGCAGCGGAGCCGTAACTCGGTGGGGGCATTCTTGGCCTGGTGCCCTATTTTGCTTAAGAGATTTTGAAATCTACTTCCTTTCAAAACAAAAACAAAGTGCTCTTAATTAATTCAGCCAAATCTCTACAGGATTATAGTTACCCACCAGTTACATTATAAATTTCTTCATTAGATAAGTGCATAAATTTTTCAATTTCTTTCTGTATCACCCCAAACCAATTCACTCTTATATTATAAAGTATTATTAAATAAAGAAGATACTAACTGGTTTTCTGTAAAACCTGTTTGCCTTCCACATTTGATCCCAGGATTCCCAGTGTGTCCACAGCCACCCCAATCATGGTTGGATCCTGACTTTCTGCCATTTCAAAGACTTTTTCCATAAAGACGGGGTAGCGCTCACAGATCTGCTGGGGACTGTCCACAACAGCCAGATTGCCAAAAAATTTAACAAATCCTGAGAAAACAAGACCAAAAAAAGCATTGAGTGGAAGAACAGCAACTTCAGCAACGGCAAAATTAAATGTACATTAACGTGAGACTGATTTGTTCCTAAACATGTGTTATTAAGGCTGAACAGTGTTGGTAAAGAGCTCAAAATAAAGACAGAACTAAGCAACAAGCCAAATATTTTGACTGTTGCTTAATTCATGATGTTTGTACTCCTAAAAAAGGCAACAATAACACAAACTTTAAAGCTACAGCACAGCCTGCCCAGATCTTACCGAGGAACATCCTTCAGACTGGATATGTACAATATTGGATATTTCAAAACGCTGAGGGACAATCTAATATTCAAAATTTCCCCTGAGCTTTCAGCAGAGAGGCTTGGCAGTGCTGCCCTATTGAAGTCGGAGGGAGAGATCCACCCTTATTGATCAGCATCACTCCACTT